AATATTTGCATTGAAAACCTAAAACGACAACTAATACGAAACAAAATTTAAATCCTAAAATGACAACTAAAACGAAACGGAGGGAGTAGTAAATACCTATAATTTCAGCATACATGGATTCAACTACTACTCCAATCCCACGTTAATTTTTTTATTTTATTTTATTTTTTTATTTATATTGTTTGCTTTTGTTCGTTTCAGCCGTATCTACACTAGCCATATTAATTTTTTTTTTTTTTTTTTTTTTTTAGCCATATTAATTTAGTTTGTTCCGGATGCTTGTTTGTTTTAAACTATTATCTAGCTGTCACCATTGTTATCATAGAAAAAAAAAAGTTATCATAGGAGACAAGTGTAGTTATACAGTTTTTTTATATGTAACTCACGTGAATATTTATGTTAATGATCATATTACGACAATATAAGAGATCAGATATAATCACTGTGATCTTGCGGATTTGGTTAGATAGATCAGGAAGAAAGATTACACCTGTGGGACACGTGGACAACAGTGGGACAAAGATTTGATCTTTGATTTATTTTCATTATTATATAAATAGTTTGATCTGTGAAGATATGTTCCATGTGTGACATTAGTTATTAAATGCGAGTATGTTCTCTATCGCAGTGGAAGGCTGACAGTGACACATTTCTATTTGTAATGAATAATCTCGATTAGTCCTCATTTGCTTAACTTCAAAAATGAAAGAGTGTTGGTAATAAAGTGCTGGCCAAAAAGGCACGAGCCCCATCATAGTTTTTTTTTTTTTTTCTCATGTAAGCAAATCTTTGCATATACTTTGTCTGTTTTATTTTAAGTTGTTAAAATTTTTTGAACACATATTAAAAAATCACGAAAATCTCATTTTATCGATTTATTTTACATATAACATAACTACAACTAATTCTATAAATAAATAAATAATTATAATATAAAATATAATTAATCAAACAGTATTGAATAAATTAAATTTTTCTATACATTTTTGAAAACATTGAAATGAAACAAAAAAATTATTCAAAGAGAAGTAAAGAATATAGCACCAAAATTAACGTATCATAGTACTCCCTCCGTTTCAGTTTAGTTATCGTTTTAGGATTTAAATGTTGTTTTATAATAGTTGTCGTTTTAGGTTTTCGATGCAAATGTTTGGTGAAAATTCCAGTTTTATCCCTACTGTTTTAATGTTTTGGTCAATGAAATTTTCCATAAAATATATTAATAAAGGGTAAAACAGAAAATTTAATATTTTTCTTAATTTGTGTGAAAAAACCTTAAACGACAACTAAAACGAAACAGAGGGAGTATTAGTTTAGATTCTACTGGTAATTTAATTTAATTTTGTTTCAATAATATAGTCACTGTACTATAGATCGAATCACATTATAAGATTCCAGAATATGATTCGACATTGAAGAGAAAATATATCTTTGTCGGAAATTTTGTTTGGCGCGCGGTGAGTTCGTCGTATAATACTACCATGGTTTCAAAATATTCATTAATTTTGTGATCACACGTTTAAAAACCCACTGAAATGGATGTTTAATGTATAAAATGAATAGTGACTAAAATAATTGACAAAGGATAATAGATACAATTACGTAACAATATCGTATTATTGTATGCCGACAACTTTGATAGCATATCTTCCCATTACATTATTGTCCTTATTCACTTATTTATTCCAGAAAAACCTTAGAACTAACCACAACTGTCTTTTTTTTTTTTTTTCAAATATATGTTGGTTTATGATCGATTTGCGTCTATGATTTGACAATATACCGAACCAATTTAGTTTTGGGGAAGTTATTTCTCAAAAACAGTAAAATCATTTGTGTCTCTTAAATTATGATACTGGTGTTTTTTTCTGTGGCTTCTTTTCCTTTGTCTATAAAATGATCGTTGTAGAAAGACATAAAGAAGAATTTTGTGCCCATTGACATAAAAGAATTTTACAGAAAGAGAAACGATTAAGAAAGATAACGTTTCGAGAGATCAACCAGTAAGGCTCTTGAACAATGTTTTGTGGTTGATTTTTATTCGTGATTTCAACCCCGATATTTTCATCGATTTTCATTCGATTCCATTACAAATTAGTAACCAAACCGATTAAGATATGTGTTCCGATTTAACGCTTCCGCTATAAAAATAACAGTATATATATATATATGTATATATTGTTTTTTCGAAAACCTATTCTTAATTAGAGATATAAGATATAAGCACCGATTATTATTATTTTTTTGGGGTAAAAGTAAAATTGAACTCAAAAACATGATGCAAATAAAATTGGATCTTTTAACCATTACATCTAGTACAACCGCCTTCTCACAAGATGTGATTTTTAAATGTTTGATACATATACATTGTTGAGATCTAAGGTTTAGGCCAAAACCTGACCTGATTGCATATTTAAGACTGTGATTGATTATATTTTATGATTTTTTGATTAAGCTTTGGAATAATTCTCAAGTTTTATTATACCACATCCACTAAGGAAATCCTTTTATACTACCAAGTTCTATTGATTTTTTTTTTAATAACAGGAGGTTATAGGCCAAAGCCTGTAATCTTCCTAAGCCCGAAACTACAGCATGTAATATCAGTTTCGTCCAAAGCGTCACTCGAACCTACGACCTCTAAGCTTCGCCTAGGGTCTTTACCAGTTGAGCTAACGACACTTGGTAAGTTCTATTGATTTGGTCGACTGACATGAAGAAATTACAAAATAAAATCAGGAAGACGATAAGGATCTTAGATTGTCAAGGATCATTTCGTTATCCACCGTATCGGCAGCGTCGACATTGGAAACCAAGGAAGAGAAAGAGCTAAAGTAACACTCAAATCATACATGGTATTAAAGAAATCGACGGTAAAAACTAAAAACCTAAAAGGCAAGATGACATACGAATAACACATGATTTATAGTCTCCTCATCTACGTCGCTCCATAAACAAAGCGAGTCACATAATATCCCTTTGTTAATTAGTCGAACATTGACCACTAAACTCTTTGTATAGGTAGAATTTTGTATCTAACTTTCATAGTATATATTGGAAAAAACGGTCTATTTCCCCATGAGAAGTATGCTTATCACGCCAGATAGAGCTCGTTCTTTGACCTCTGTCTATATGTCCATGAAACGGAAGTTAAACACTTATTTCCCCCCTAATTGGAAGTTCGATATCTTAATCTCCCCGATTCTGAAAGCTGGAGATGTATAACCCCATCGTGCTGGGTTTACTCGGTTTACTGTATATCGAAACCTAATTAAACCGACTAAAACTAATTCGAACCGAAATAAACTAATACTACCCGATTACAACCCGATTTCATTCACTTTACCCCAAAACGAAATTCTCGACGAACCCTTAAAACTCAGAATCGAAAATCCGAAGGCTCTTCGATCTGTTGTTCAAATCTTGGAGATGTCGGGTATTCCTCCTGGATCTTGATGCTCTCGGAAAAGCGAAAGCGTCG